TATCTCCACAGAATGTGGGTGTGTGGTCACTCTTAGCTTCATTTCTCCCCATAGACCTTACTGGCATGGGTGTCCCTACCAGGAGCTTGTGCTCCAGCCTGCATTGCCCTATGGATCAGTAAAATTACTGGGCTCTCCCACCACGACCAGGTGGTGACCACGGGAGAGTTATTATTATTATCATACATAATTAACATAAGCTTAGTTTTTACATAGATCACTAGATATACCATATTTACTTGCATATAAGACAAGGTTTTTATTCATTTATCATAGCTTCAAATTCTAAATTGTCCTATACATGCAAGCAAAAGATTATTTGCGTTTTTGCAAATAATTTTTGTGAATTCGCATTTTTTACCAGAAGCTTACTCTCTTGTATTTAAAAACATAAGTATTTTATCTAGGTCGTTTGAATCATTCTTGTATATTGTCAGGAGTAAAGATGAATAGCAATAGGAAAAGCAAAGCTTTTGAATTGAATTTCAGATTGAAATTCCAAAATCACATGGGAGCACAACATAAGTTTTAATCCATTCTCCACAGATGATTATTCGGAAATCAGAATTCAGAGAAACTCATAAGTGTAATCGACGGAGAGTGGATTCGACTGTTAAGAATTGGAAAAAAAAAGGTTTCTGATTGTCCGGCTTTACATGAACAAATTACGTTGTCAATTTTACAAGATTTTTCCTTAAAGTTTAAAATGCTAGTAATTTTTTGCGTGACAATGTGTGCATTAATGTTCATTTGATATTTTACTTGTGATTACAAAATAAAATTAGAATTGTATTAATAAATCTAACTTTTTTTATTTTGATCTTTAAAGTCACACCTTGTCCTATATGCAAGGTCAACTTATATTCAAGTAAATGTGGTAATTTAAATTGGAAGCAGTGTACTGTACATAGAAATTATTAAATTTTTAAGATATAAATTATTCATTTCATGGCTTTGTTAACAGAAACTTTCGACAAATTGATATATTGATGTAAACATTTCAGTATCTTTTAGTTAATTTGTTCTCATATTTATTAATATAAATAAGTAATTTGTGAAGTGTAAATCTTAATTTACAAACTATATTCCAGTAATTCATAATACAGATAAAAACTGAAAATACAAGATGTCTTTCTTGATTTTATTGTTTTTTTAGAGTTTTTGTTTGTTTATTTTCTATCTGTTATTTTTATTTTCTATTCAGTTTTTTCTGTTTACCTTAAAACTTACACTTCAAATATCATTAGCAGTGGTGATTTTAGATTATGTAAAATGCTGTAGACTATTGTGAGGCTGTTTATATAATGTTTATATAAAGTTTGTGTAATGTCAAGCTTATATCACATAATACTCCATACCATATGAGGTCAAGGATCTTAGCAATTATTTGATTGACTACCAGAGTAAGATATAGCATAAACAAGCACATTTTTGGTTTCCTAAAAGTGCAAAGCTCTACAAAAAAATCCTAGATTGTCTATGCCTAAAATCACTACAGTATTAGTCATTAATTTGTAAATTTAGAAATTATTATTTATGAAGTTTCTGTTTGCAGGAAGTATTAACTATCTGATATATTTTTAATGTTATTGATTAATTATTTTAAATTGTTAAGCCACAAATGCAAGAAGTTTTGGATGCCATGTTTGAAAGAAAAGTAGGTATATAAAATGTTGCATTAATTTATTAATCTATTTTTATATTAACTTAATACATGTGGAAATTTTTAAATCAGGTAGAAACTGGCGATATCGTCATTAGACAAGATGATGATGGAGATAACTTTTATGTTATTGACAGGTAATTAATTGATCATGTACAAGTATAACTGATGCTGTTCAGTCAATAACTGTAAAATTTTCTATCTTTTTAATAGGGGTATTTTTAATATTTATGTGAAAAATGATAAAGGAGAAAATGTCTTAGTTGGAAAATATAATAATTCGGGAAGTTTTGGTGAATTGGCTCTCATGTATAACATGCCGAGAGCGGCAACCATCGAAGCAGCATCTGAAGGAGCTCTTTGGGCCATGGTAACTATGTTCATTTGCATCAATATATTCAGATAATTAAATTAAATGACAAAAAATGTTAAATTTAAATATTATATATATAATGTAAAATCAAACTTGTAAAAATTATTTTGATATCATCCATTTTATTACTTATGTGAAGTTCTAGACTGATAAATCACATTGATGATGTTCTTTATTTATCAGAAATTCAAATCTTACTTTGGATGTAAATTAAATTTATTACTGATAGTGTCTAATGAGATTGTTGTTTAAGAGGAAATAGTTGTAGCTGTAAAACTGTATAGAAGCTTAACAAGAGTTTTAAAAATATTTTAATTAAAATTAATGATATTCAATTTACATTACATTTAAGATATACAAGAGAAAGTTGTATTGTATCTCATTAGTATATCTTCAATATGAAGTAAATTGAGTTATGATCATAATCTAATCTAAGCTTGTCAGGGCTACATTAAAGTATGTCCAGTTGAAACTGGGGATTCATCATTTCGAGGGCCAATGCCTCAAAAGCATTTAACACAGCCTGATGCACATATCTTTATATTTATTGGAATGTTATTGTCCTGTATACTATTTATCAGTTCATCTTAGTTAGATATTTATCTTGTTAATAAATATGAAAATATAAACAGAATCGACAGACCTTTCGTCGAATTGTTCTGAAGAGTGCTTTTAAGAAGAGAAAAGAGTACGAACAGTTACTGGAAAAAGTTCCAATGCTTAAAACTTTAGAGGTATGGAAAATTCTGAATTACTGTACAGTAATTTCAAATTTTTTAGAATTAATTAATATTTATGCATTTAAAAATTAATTTTTAATGTATAATCCATGTTTTTATATACATCTTTTAAAATTTAGAATTATGAACGATTAAATTTGTGTGACGCATTAATGCCAAAAACATTCCAAGATGGAGATAGGATTATTAAGCAGGTAAAAAAATATATATATATTATTTTACAATTATTTGTTTAAATCTGGTTGTAATTTTATAAATTTTTGAACTGAAAAACTCAGTTTAAATTATATAAATATGATCTTTCCTTTCCAAAGGGGGATGAGGCAGAGGAGATGTATTTTGTTGAAGATGGAACAGTAAGAATTACAATAGTAAAAGAGGTGAATAAATTAAAAAATAAGTTATCTTAATAAATTAACTGAGATATGTTATTATTTTTTATAAATTTCTCAATATTTTTACGAAATATTCTCTCTTACAGGGTTGTGATAAAGAAGTGGAAGTTTCCAGACTTACAAAAGGAGGATATTTTGGAGGTTATTTGAGTTTTTAATACAAAAAATAATATATTTATAATTTATTTTGATTTATGATAAATAATTTTTGTCTTTAGAATTAGCCTTAGTGGCACAGAAACCCAGAGCGGCATCAGTATATGCAGTAGGAACTGTTAAATTAGCAAGTAAGGAAACTGTAGTATATATGTTCATCAGTTTCAGATTTAGACTTGTTGTAGCACTAAAGTTATCACATATAAGAGATTCTGCAACCTTCCACGAAATAGTAATATGAAGCCCTAAGCTGTAGATTATGTAATTTATGTATACATCTGGCCCTGATGCTATTAATTTGTGATTTTTTTTCTAAATATACTCTCAAATTTTTTCAGCATTAGACGTGCAAGCATTTGAGAGGCTACTTGGTCCTTGTATGGAGATTATGAGAAGAAATGTGGATCATTATCACAAGCAAGTCATTGCCATTTTTGGTTCAGAAGACAATATCAGTGATGTACGATGATAATTTAACTTAGTCCAAGTTTTTTTTGGCTCAGTATTCATCTAGTCACAGATATACACTTTTTAAAAAGATCATCACAGATTTAAATAACAACAAAAAAATAATAACTAATAAGGCAGTATTTCTTTAGAATGATGCATATTAGAAAGGAAAAAGTAAATTAAATTAAATATTGAATTGCTTTCAAATTTCAGACTCAGTTCAATTGTTATACTCTCACGTCTTGCATAATAACTTGGAGTTAAATTTAAAAATAAGAGAAAATTCCCACAGAAATCATACAACAGAGTTGATATTTATAAAGTTTGCTATCGGAATTAACGATATTTAATAATTAACAATAATAAACTTACGATAATGCACGAGCCATTCTACTTAAAGGTAAACCTAGTTCCGACGTGGTTTGTTCGTTTAAAAACAATTGTCGAGAAAGTGAATTTTTTCACATTAATCGACATTCTATGCATTCAAATGCTAAGTTTAAGTTTCATTGTAAGTATATTTATTATTTTATCTGTCAGTAAATTATATTCAATTGATAAAAGTTGATGTTATTCATTGTATTTTACGTGCCAGAATAATGCCGGAAGTGATGTGTGCTTAGTGAAGTCATTTTTTTAAAACTTTGTTTGAGCAGAAATAATGCATCTAATCAATCTGTATAGAAAAAATCTGACAGTTGTACAGTATCTATAAAAAGAAACATTTTAAAACTTAAAATTTGAGTTACAAAGGGTCCTAAACTGTCTTCACTAATCAAATTTCAATAAAATTCTAGTTTAAGTCTTCCTTCTATAAATTAACAATTAAAGTTAAACAAAGGATTTGCATCCTGCAAATTGTTCTTGTTGAATTGTGGAAATATTAACCAAAATTATATTAAAATAAAAACCAATATTAATGTTGAAAATTGTTCAAAAAACATAGAATAATTTATTAAAATTAATATACATTTATATAAATAAATATATTAACTGTAAATAAAAGCTTGATTTATGACAAGAAGAATTTTTTGAATTTAATATTTTTTGTTGATATTTTTTAATTATTTAATTTTCAAATATTTAAACTAATAATTAAGTAAATAACAGAAATTGTATATAAGAAATTTGAAAGAAAGAAATGTTTAAATGTTTTGTATGTTTTATTGTTAAATTTCAATAAATATAATACAAGATTCAATGTCTTTTTTATCTTTATTTTTTAAAACATTTTTTCTCATTTGACTTTTTTTTGCTGCTTTAGTGTTAAATAAATAAATATCTAAGGTATAAACAGTAATTTATCAGTAAGTTTTTAAATCTATAAAAGACAATATGATAATTCTGTAAATTTGTGGTTCAAACCTACACCTTTCGCTAGTTGTATTAATTTAAGGAAGATAAATATCATCGGGAAACAGTATAATGATCGGAACTTGGCTTTATATTATCCGCATGGGTTAATGTTACCTATGGTTCCAAAATGGCGGATCTGCCGGTTGCCATTTTGAACTATTTTCGAGACTGCGCGGTAACCGATATTTTGAACGGAGTGGACGAGCCTACTAAAATAACTTATTCTAGTAAATTTATAAAAATATTACTTACGTTAGTGATCCTTTTTTTCCTACGTTTCTTCCCCAACATAGTCGATTCCTCTGCACTCGTTGACGTTCTTTTCTTTGTCGTCTTCTTTTTAATTAACCCCATAACCTTTCAACGTTTTGAGCACGATCACCCGTTTTGGGGGTTTACATAGTTTTTCGAATGATTGACTGTTCTATGTTTAATATCGTCGATGCGATTATATCCCTTCCACTCATCGGTGATAATTATACTACCACAATTTACAAATTTAGACACAACCCAATTTAGGGTGATTTCGGATCCGTCATTCACTCGACAAATGAAGCAATTTCTGTCCATTAACTGGTAACATTTGCGGATTGTACGACCGGACCAAAATTCGTCGGAATTGATGTCTACAAAACTCTATCGCTGTATTATCGTCAAACAAAAAATTAAAAATTAACAACAATTATAGTAATATTTAATAAGAAAAATAATTTAAGATTACATTTTTACTTAAATAACTTGTTTGTATAAAAATATTATAAGAGAAAACTATCGTATACTTAATACGCAACGACTAACCTTCACAAACGTCTCACTAACTATTAATAATTTGCATATTTCCACGAGAAACATTCATCTACGACGTCATATCTAATAATTTGCATATTTACGCAAAACCACATTTACGGCTCATTCAACAAATTTGCATATTTCGTCACGCGTTTTAACACAGCTCCCTCTGTCAACTCTCCACTCAATGCTCCGAATCGAGATTGCCGGAAGTTCCGCCACTTTGGCACCGTAGGTAACATTAACCTAGGCGGGTTTGGATCTTCTCTCTAACTCTCAGTTTCTTTGTTAGAAACATCAATTACGTTGTTATAATAGAAAGCAGAATACTTAATGCTTAGTGAAGAACTAAACCCTCCCCTAATCTACTGATGTTTCTACCCAAAGAAATCAACATCGGGACAGGAGATACTTTTGATAGAAACTGGAATTTGAACCCACGCCCGCTTTAGTAAAAAACCAATGGATGGCATACTGTATTTTTAATTCCGATCGTATCAATGGTCAAGTATTAAAACCTCTAAAGGTATTATGCATCAGATAATCAAAGATTTATTACATAAATACTGTAAATAGTAATCACTATACATCAAATATTAAAATTTCTTTTTGTATAAAGAGCGTAATATTTTTAGAGAAAACAGTTAATAGATTACAAGATAAGAGCCGAATGTGAAATTCGGAATTTCTACCGATTATTTTGCCGTATTCGCTTAAAATCTAATTAAATTTTCCCATTAACCTAAAGTGAAACCTAACGGAAAAAAAAACTTTTCGTTTACATTCGACATAAACATCCGTTCAATTCGAAACTAATCCCACATTCCTACGCCAAAGTTGATAGTTAGCATGGTCCCGGGAACAACTCTGACCCATCTACATACCTTTTACCTCACAACAATCAATCACGTGACCATTCTCCCACGCCGAACTTATAAAAACCCCTTCCTTCCCCTTCTCGGGGGAGTCGTACCGGAGCAGGTGCCGGAAGAAGACCAATTTAAAATAGTGTCCTTGTTGTCTAGTGAACTTCCCTAAATCCAGGATTCGAATAGTTAAATAGTGACCTTTCCTACATCAGTAAACTTTCCTAGAAGAGAAATTTTCCTAATTCAACGAGTCGCTTGGATAACAGATCAAGAGGTATGGAACCAATTATTGTAAGCTCTCTCTCGGTCTCCCCGCGTTTTAGGGACGCGAACTATACGTTGTATTACTCAGTTTAATAAATTGTTACTTTTCCTTATGTTATATCTGGCCTCCTCGTTTTCTCGTATATCGCCTGTCGTCTCACCGACGCGCTCCTCCCTCCGCCACTCGACCCGTTACAACGGGAAAAAGAACCCTTCAACCACCCATCCTGACAGTGAAAGGGTTTAACAACCTGTTGCCGGATTGTGAGACCTACCCCCTTCCGGTGGTTTCACACATATATTTTACTCGATGCAGAATAAATCAAATTTCAATAAGTTTCTATGATAAAATAATTTCCGAAATCAAATTTGCATCAAAATATTTTAATTCATTGAAAACAAATAATAGTTGTGTTATTTTTAATGGCGAAATTTTAAATTTTTCTTCGATTCAGGCAGGTATGCAAATGATTTGCACTCCAGGTAACGTCGTCAGAATGCTTTAACACTAGTATCCTATCCTACCAGACTATAAAAATCCAGCAATGAGTTGCTTAACTTTCCCGGCAATTGGTGGCACTGTATGTTATGATAGTTTATTTAAAAGTTTTTATACTTTTAACTATTATGAAATGGCCGAAAAGTTAATTTTGCGTTTTATAAAAATTGTAGATGGTAAATGCTAATAAAGGGTAAAGTCGTAATTAAGTCCGACCCTATTGGAGATACACGCGTCTCCGTTTATCACCACTTATAACCACTAAAATTTATTAGCCCCAATAAACAAATTTCAGAAATTTTCGACAAAAAGCGCAGCAGTTATTAAACTCGAAACAGGATGAACAAAATCGTGTCCGCATACACTAACCTCCATACGTACGAAAAAACTCCGAATTTTTGCATTTCCCGACGTTTCGAGGTGTCTCGTACTCAAAAATGTAAAAATCTCGAAAGGTCATTTTTTGACCGATCTCTATACTTTTCCTCCATTATATATAACTGCCGGGAAAGTAAAAAGGGGAGAGCGCAAGCTATAAAAAGGAAATCGTACGTACTGTACAATACATTACGCAAGAATATATATACATACAGTATATACTAGCAGATGAGACCGGCGTTGCTCGGGCAAAAAGTATTATTAGGTTAAGATGATTAGATTAAAAGCCGATCTTACTCTTTTTCACCGGGCGCAAGAATTAGGTTCACCCTCTTCTGAGAATAAAGACTCCTAAGACTAATATGTTCCATTTCCCACATAAAACGCATCTAAAATGGTACAGTGAAATTCGAGTTTAGGGTAATCCTTAACTCCCTCCCTCCCTTCGGAGGGGAATTTCGGAAAATCTCTTCTTAGTGTATATTCTCACGTACCCTGTGTACCAAATTTTAACTTTCAACTCCTAATAGTTTAAGTTCTGCGCTTAATAATAATACAGTATTATTATTATTAATGTACACTAAGAAGGGATTTTCCGAAATTCCCCTTATTATTTTCAACCCGTCTCGATTATATATAAAGATATACAGGTATCTTTTGATTAACGCAATTAATTAATCCCTAGATGCTACCGCAACATCGAAATCACGCTGATCAAATACAGCGATACCTCGGTACTCGACTGAACAATCATCATTTGCTAGAACAAATTTTCGGTTAGTAACAAATACTTTTAGTTTAATTTTGTTTTCAGTAAAAACATTTTCTGTGATAAAAATGAGTGAACAATTTAAAAATAAAATGAAACTTTTGGAGCTTCCTCGCGGATTAAGCAAATGGCAGCCCGACGACAAATGGCACGTTCCCCTTTTGTCGTTTTGTTGCTCTATTCTTTTCCAAGTGTCTCGATATTCTCCTCCGGTTTCCCTTTATCGTTTATTAGTGGCCGAGTGGATAAGACCACCGAACATCCGTAATAGGTCGTAGGTTTGCGCCTCCCCAACTGGCTGGTCACGTGGAGTTTTCCCGGTTTTCTTCACATTAGTAACACCTAAATAGGGGCCAGTTTTCCATAAAATGACCTCCCGGGAGTCATTTCCTCATCGGCGATCTGTCGATGAGGAAATGATCGCTCGTGTGTCGCGGGTTGCCGTAACCGAATAAAACTACCCTACATCCTGTACACCAACTCATCGCGTTCAGAATAGAAGCGGGTAGTTGCGGGTTGGAACGTCCGGACTCGAAACTAGGCTATTAGAAACAGGTCGGAACTACGAAGGCGTTGTTGGTTTTTTGCTTTACGAACACGGCTTATCACGGCACAGTAAACGCTTTATCTGGATGCCAACTCGAACTAAGTGAAAATGTTCCACGAATTTTTAGGAATAATCAAATTATTTTTGAGTATTTTAAATTTATAAAGATATTTTAAAAATTTACAATTTTATTAGAGTTCTTAATTATATGTTTTTATTAGTAAACTAGCAGATATGTGCGCAGGGGCGGATCTAGGTTTTTCGGGGCCTAGGGCTTATTGAAGTATAATGGGGTCTCATTTTTACCTAATCTATTAACTATTTTTTACTATACGNTAATCAAATTATTTTTGAGTATTTTAAATTTATAAAGATATTTTAAAAATTTACAATTTCTAATTGCGGACATATCCGGCATTGTCAAGCCAAAAAGTAAGAAGTTTAAACGTTAAAATGAAAACCACATTAAAAGTTTGAATACTTTTTGTCTACCGTTGTTGTTTATCTCAAAGTGTCGAGGAGATCAAATCAGGAAAGAGTGGGGCATCAAGATTCCACGCGAGTCTATATTTTCCCCACAGAATAAGTATGGAAAATTTGGTGTAGTTCTGGCAAAAAGCTACGAACAGAGAAAACATTCTATTACACAGTACACAAAAGCGACGAAGAACCGTCTAGTCAGAAGCGGAACTGGATTGTCAGTTTATCGGCTGGTCCGAACGTCAGGCATTCCAAACTGAGCTCTGAAACAATCACTGGCTTACTTCTTACTAAACAATTAATTGGATAAAAATTACTGTTACGATTTTCCTGTAAAAGTTAATTTAATTTCAAAAATAAGAAACAGTGTTAAAAACATACAAACGGAAGATATTGAATATTAATTATTATTATTCAATATCCGAAAAATAAAAGGTAACACTGTATTTTGTTAGAAAAATAAGACAAAATGTACCTACTTAATTAGTAAATTATTATTTTTTTACGTAAGTGTTCTGTGTTAGTTTTTTGTTTTTTATTGTTTTATAGTTTATAATAAAATAAATGACGAAAAAGAATGTTATTGTTTATGTGCAACCTCCTTTCTGCCACAAAAAGTCGATTTACCGAAAAATTACCGAAATCTACCGAAAATTGCCTAACGAATCTACCGATGGGAAGCAAATCGGCGTGGCAACACTGGCTTTGACTAACTAGTAGCCCGGGACCCCCTAGTGGGCGTTCTTTACAAATTCCTTTGACTTTCTTCTTCCTATCAATACGCTCTACAGCTCTATTAAAGGCCCAATCGCGTCATACGGATCTAGATTTCTGCCTATTAAACATTCTATAAATGCTTTAAAATAGTTTAATTTGTTTATTTACCTTCGCTCGTAAACCTCGATTTTAAATGTATCCGCCATTTTTTCAACAAATTTCCCGTGAGTCGATGCGCGACGTTCACCGAGTCACGGGATGTTGTAAACTTTCGGCGCGAGGTTAATCGAGGCGAGGCAAATAATAATTATTTATACCATTTCGTGGTATAAATAATAAATTCCTATTACGAATAAAAATAGTTTATTGTTAATTTAAAATCGTCGCTAGGGCGCCTCTAGTGCCTTTTTTTTGGCATACCGTTACGAGAACGGACGGACACGCGTTCACTGGATTACATAGATAGATAGCGGATTAAGAAATCTTTAGATGTTCAGAAAGGAAACAATATGTCGTACAAAACTTTTTACTACCCGAGGTACCGAGGTTAACTTACGAAAAAGTCTTTCAAAACGGAGTCCGACTGCGAAGAGGCGTTAGGGGCAATGGGTAAATTTCGGAGTAGGCTCCGGGTGTTTGGGCACTACGAAGTCCGAGTGTAGCCGGGTCCTTTACCATCCATTTCTTTGAACAAATGAAGTACGTATTAATAAAATGACTTAAATAAAATATTTTATTTTTTGTTAGTAAAAAATAATATTAATTTATAGGGATAGTAACCACTAAGGACGCCCAAGTTTTCTTCGGGCCCGAGAAAATCCCTAGCTTCCTCCTCTCGGTGACTCTGGACAGGTAACCGTCTCATTAGGGAGCCCGTCTGGCCAAATGGTCGAGGCGATTTGGACGTCAGTCTATCACTCCGGGGGAGATTTAGTCCGGGTGGACAAAAAATTCCAGGAATTTATCGGGGAATGTTCCATTCCGGATTTGTCCGGTCTCGTCTCTTACAACTCATTCGCCTCAATGCGAGTTGGCCGAATCCACGACAAGCCCTAAAAAGGCCCTCTTATAGAATCCGTAGTCTTAAGGCTAGGGCCCAGAAGAGAGGGGCAGAGACAAAACAAAATAAGAAAACAAATGGTTTAACTGATACGTTGTTACAACGATATTTTTATTTAAATTATTTAACATAACTTAATGTCGCTTTATTCTAGTCAACAGAAAATGGGACAGAAGGCAAAGTCGGGGAAGCTTTACTAAAAATCGGCTTAAGAGCCCATATTGTATCCCGACAAGAGGAGGCCCTATAAGCTATTAAAATTTCCTTTTAAATTTTACCGGTTTCTCGGGATATTGTCCCTTCTCTATGATTTTTTAATCTTTCTTTTGTTCCGTAGATGAATGTATGACCAAAAATATAAAGTTACTTGGAATGTGTTTGGATCCCGTCCTCTGTCACACGCATTTGTCCAGTTTTCTAAATAAATATAAAAGTGAAGTGTTCCATTAAAAAGCAAAATGAGGCATGTTTACTAGTTTTAACGGTTAGCGAGCAACCGAACCATTAAGTAATAAGCCAAATATTCTGACATTTGGCATATTATTTGAAAAAGTCAGTTTTGATTCCATTTCGAGCCAATCGGATTTACTTTCTCAAATAATCGAATTTCAAACTCATCCTCCTTTTAAACACGTAACGGTATCAAAATTTTTTTAAAATGTCCTCTTTTTCGGAACAATTTGTTATCCATTCATAACTTTTATTCTGTAAACCTAGGCCAGCGGAGCTATTTGGCTTGGGCTTCAGATTTAGGAGGCCTTCCATTGCATCTCTCGCATTATTATTTAAAAATTTAATACCATTTTTAATACTTTTTATAATTTACTGAGAAGCTGAAAATGTGAAATGACTAGGCCTTGGTTTCTACCAATGGAATTGATATTTTAAAAACAAAAACCGAATAGTCTCGCTGGTTTCCTGTAATAGACCCTGACTGAGATAGAATTCGAATTAACTAGCATCTTTATCGTTGTCATCCATCCTTTTTATAAAACAGATACAACTTACTACTGCGTAGAATTCATCGTAAAATATTCCATAACTTGTTATTTTTTCGAAATTCGACGAGGATGTGACATTCGTGAGACTTTTGGAGGACGCGAACTACCAGTTGGGAATCGATATTGTCTACAACGTCAAACGACCGGGTAACTATATTGAAGAGGAAACGTTGCAACCTTCACGATAAATCAATATTTTAGGCGACATCTCGTAATGAACAAATGCATTTAAATTCTACGTCTTTTTAACATTTAAACGACTTTTTACGTTTATCAGTTTATAATTTTTTAGAGTTAATTCCTTTTTGTGTTTTAAGAGTCGAGATCTTCTTTTAAGCAGTTCGTGGTAGTTTTTCTGCATTTCGTAAAGGGTTTCCCATAAAAGTAAACGTTCTTTAGGGATTAAATTGATGCACTCTTTCCAATCTTCGACCTTTACTTCTTCGTGCTCGTGCTGATACCAATTTTTTGTTTTTATTTTATTTTCTAAGAATTCTTTAACGTTCACCAAAATTGTTTCGTCGTATTCGCTACAATTCCTAAAGTATTGTAAAAAATATTCGAGATCCTTCGACGTCTTAATTCCTAAGATATTTAATAAAGTATCTAATTTCAATAAATTAGTACCTTTTGGAAAAAGGAATTTATCTTTAATCAAAAAACTCATCTGTTCGCAAATAATGTTAAATAAATGAAATTTCCATTGAAAATTCCAACTTTCTGTTTCAAAAGATGGACTTTTTGAAGCTTTTCCTTCTTGAAAGTTTATTTTTTCCCACTTTATGCCCAATATATTCTCCCGAATGGCCTTATCTGCTCCCAATACTCTGCTACAGAGTTCTTTAATTTCATTTGTTCTTAAGATAAAAACGTCGACATACTTTCTATTCTCGAGAAATCGAAGGTACTCCCATCTTTCTTCGGATTTTTTAAGTTTTTCTGTAAGATCCTTTCGATCTTTATGGATCTGAATACGCTTTAACGTTTGCTGGTCTTGAAGCATCCTCAGGAGATATTGCAGCTGTTCAAACTTCTTACTCAGGTGAATAAGTTCTCGTTTCTGTTCAGGAATTAATTTATCCCATTCTTCAGACCTCTTTCGAACAATTTCTATATTATACTCTAATTTTTCTTGATTAATTATACAAAACATCTTAATTTTCCTCAACTCTATTGTCAATTTCACGACATCATCAAGAAGTCTTCTACGAAGAATGACGTATTCTTCAGAACTTAATTTTTCTTCTTTCCGAATTTCATGTTCATATTCTTTTCGTCTTTGCTCTAAAGTTTGTAGATAAAAACCTCTTCCATCTAAAATCTCTTGAGATTTTTTCTTCCATGCATTAAAACATTTCGTGTGTTTTTTTCGCGTTTCTCGTACAGAAAAATCAATCATAGTTTGGATTTCTTCCCTCGATAGATCATATAGATGATTGATTAAGCATTCGGATTTTTTGATCAGATACGACAAGTCATTTCTCAACTCTTCGAGTTCATCTTCGTACTTCTTTTCTCTTTCTTCGAGGAGAATCTTAAGATTTTCCACTTTGCAATCCATTTCTTTCAAAATGAATTCGCAATTCTTCTTCTCTTCTTGCATCAGATGATGTATTTCAACTGGAAGCTTTACTTTCCTCTCATTCCATCTCTGTACGCATTTTTGGAATTGAAAAGCTACACTTTCAGAAAATTTCTTCAATTCTTCACGCTTCGAGTCTCTAAACTTCTGTTCTTCCAGTCTTTTTTGCTTTACTCTTTGAATAAATGCAACAAATACGTTAGACACTCGTTCATATCCGTCATTATAAACTTGTAAAAAACTATGATTAGTTTTCTTAGAAGCGATGTCAGAGATGTCTTCACGAATACCTAAATCATCAAGAAGTTCTTGAAATTCGCTTCCTTTTATGCTGTTCTTAACTTCTAGCGACATGTTTCCAGCTCAGCTATAACACAGAAACCACTTTATTATTTGACGTCAATGTAGAAAACGATGCAAGTAAGCGTTACGTACACGAGATAAGGTACACATTGAAGTGGTTGATAAAGGAATAGTAAGTACTCACCCGAGTTTATTGTTAATTTTCTGCAGTTTTCATAAACAGTCAACCTACCCACAATACAAACAAAAGCTGCCGTGTCGTTGCTTTGTGTGTTACTATTGATTGGTAAGTTATCATACACTATTGAAAAGCAACCCTCTACATATTGCTACAATACCAAAGATTTATTATGCATAACAACATTATAAGATCTGTTTTAACAGGAGAACAACATAGAGGATGCATAATAATATATAATTTTTATCCTTTAAAATTCATCTACCGAATATAATTAATAATAGAAATTTTAAATTTGTTGGGAAAACAGTAGCAAAACATATCTATGATTAGTCAATATATCGTTTAATGTGTAAAAAATAATTATAACTAGTCGAACAAGACATTTTCCAATTGTTTCTACCTGTTGGGAATGCACGAATGCATAGTTCGTGACATAAAACGGAGCATGCGTTTTACTGCACACCTGCATGATCTGTCACGAGTTGTATACTCCGTGTCACACTTGACTAAATAGTTTCGTTGCCAAGTCACCATGGCCGCAACGATGTTAATGATGTTTATCGAATCGTCTTCCTACCGCATCCGATGACCGTGTATCTGAAGACGGGTGCCACGAGTACCGGAACAACAATACCGACAGGGAATAATGGATTTGTTTACAGGTGAGATATTCTTATTATACATATATAGGTCACTAGATTTCGGGCATTTTGTCAATAATAATCCAAAAATATATGTTTCCAGTTACCATTACAATATCACACGTATTGGACTCGATTATTTTTACTAAGAGTTAAAAAATTGCACCATTTACGGGTTTTGCGATATTGTATAATTAATAAATTTAATATTTCTACAATATATAATCATAGCAGTTAATATAATGTTTATAGGGATCGAATGCCCTTGGATATATAAAAACCCATTCATTAAAATTATTGACGTAAACATGGCGTCAGAGCGAATTATAATAATTTCAATATTTATAGAAAGTGAAAATCTGCGCTTGGTTTTTCGATGCCCTCTTATTTTTATTATTAAATATCTGTTGCACGGAAATAAAAAGTATATATATTCACGTTATATATATTTATCAAATAATCATGGCGAATCGTCGGTTAATTAAATATACAGATACAATGTAATTTGGACTGAAAGTCTACCCTTATATTAAATTAATTAATTCAGAATATTCTAAATTATATATAGTATTTTATTTTTAACTTATTAAATATTAATCATTTTCAGAGAATATTTTAAAAGTTTGTCAGTATTTTTTTTAAATTTTGATAAATTATTAAAATTATTTACCAAGCATTTCATATTCCTTCACCCACTTCAGTCTGCCGAATTTCGAATTGGAATTATTGGGTTTTTTATGAGTTATATAAGAGAATTTAATATTATATAATTTAAAATTTATACAGGAAAGGCGCAGATAAGAATTGAGTAATATAGAATGAAGGCAACTGGTGTACCAAGATGGCGTCCGAGTCAGGCCATTATTCATAATGGGTAATTGCTGTACCGATAACCATTTGAATTCGGCTGGAGCATTATTAGACGAAATTGTTAGCCAACCGGATTGTGGATTAGATAATCGCCTTTATAAATTGATCGATTATCAAAAAGGTGGTAAATTAGTCGATGCTTACGAAAGAGGTGGAAGCAAAGAAGTCGAATGTTTGGCTAAGAAAGAACTTAAAGAGTACATGTGCGAAGACGGAGAAGGAATGAATCTTACTTACGAATACTATAATAAATGGAAACATTTAAATGACGATTGCCAGGTGAGTTAATTGATTTTGTGGTAAAGCCAGCGATCCAATTCCCAAGCGTTCCGTGTTATAAATTGAGATACTGAAAAAAAGCTGCGGCCCTAAGCTATAACATAATAGGTTCTTCCTCTCTACCCAATAATAACGCGTGTAAAAATTGAGGCCTGATAACGCGCTGCAGCGTGTTGAGCTCACGTCCGTTAAACGAGCGGTATATTCAGTCCAACCACCGGTAATGGCCATCTCCAAACAATGACCAGTTTTTAATGTTCTCGTTAGTGACCGTTGTTGAGAGATTTAATTTTATTATCATAAATTGAGATTACGTTTAGCGCCTGTCGTAAAGCCAAGTTTATATTCTGAAGAATGACTTGGTTTTACAACGACTTGCCCAAATTCAAGAGAAAAAGTACTAATGAACATTTTAATAGATATAAAGCAATTAGCATAGATTGCTTGAGTGGTTTCAAATTAAAGTTTAAAATACGAAACGAGTGAATTTTAGAGCCCAGTTTATCAATCAAAATCTCGCGATCGATAAAGGACATCAATGAAATTTCTAGATAATGTCACGGTCTTTAATGCTAAAAATGGGGATGGCCAACTAAAAAGTAGTTAAAATATATCGATTTTGTGGTGTTTCAGACCAAAAATCCAATAGTGTCGTGCAGAAACATCGTATTTCGTGCAATTAATTATTCCTTTGTAGGAAGTACTGATAAACTTATTTTCAATGGAAAAGAACAGTGAGATGCTTATGAAACCATTTTGGTGAAATTTTATTTATATTTTTTGTATTTTAAGGCCGTGATTCAGATGGAAGAAACATTCAACTCGAATTGTCAAGTGCCAAAATTTACAGAGCACCAAATCTGTTGGAAGTTAGAATACAGAGGACTTCTCGGAGAATCGATTCTTCACGTTCTTATATTATGCAATTCCAAGATTCATACAAGAATTGCTAAAGTGCTCCTTCGTCTTTACCCGCATCTTGCATGGGATATTATAGAAGGAGAGGAATATTTTGGTAAGTTCCAATCCTTTTGTAAATTTTATAGGATCTTCTCGCTCTTATTTCATCCAAAGTTGTGTGTGCATAGAAACACGAAACACTTATCTTACATCTAAATCAAAATGGCAATGTCCTGTCCGAAATGTTTTGAATAGATTCACCAAACACCTACATACAAATTATTTGTAATCTAAGTATGGAGTATGAAATAGGGTGCACTATTTCATTGGAAATTTATTGCATTTCAATACATATGATATTGTTTAAATATTTCATTATTGAACTATTACTGTTCCGTTTGTATACATGTATTTTGTACGAAACATATATTTAACACGTGTATTAATTATTAAATTTTTTGAAACAGTTGGCTTTAAGATCGAATTTTCCAGGTAGACTTTCATAAAATCAATATTTGCACATTTGTACTACAAAATAAATTATTAAGGACTTTTTAAAACATGATTTCGTGTTTAAAATCGCACATTTTCCACAGAAGACTGCGCTAAATCGATTAAATTATTATTAATATTGAGCCCTTTACGATTACCTTGAAAAGTATATAATTATCATCAATTATCCCAACCAGGTTGTGTCATAAACTACAGGTTGAGAAGTTAACGCTAAAACACTAACATTCGAAAGCAATAATCGTGAGAAGTTTTATAGAGAACACTATTTTGATATTAAAAATATAAATTATGATAACAATTAAACATTATTTATAATTAAACTAATTAAGTTACTATTATTAATTCGATTATCATTAATTATAAAATACATATAGTTTTTCTAATTCCCAGTAGGTAGATCGCGATCTATCTATTGGGATCTTTTCGTGGGGGTGTGTTTTTAGAGATATTCCAGTATAGGTGTATCTCGAGAGGTTTGCTATTAATAGTAACGCGTACATAATTACATTATTTGTGCTATTATATTTTATAAATGGAGGGATAAATATTGATAAACACCTTCGAACTCTTCTTTACAGATAATTTACCATTGGTTAAATTAATGGGTCACGATATCTTAATAAAATGTCGTGACTACCTTGAATAAACGGAAGTAATATAACAATTTGTTCTAAACAAACTTTATTAAATTATGCGCTACATTACATTTGGAATTTTAAAAATACACGATCACCCTCTCAGGACCTTTCTTTGACATTCATGTGTGTAATTAATTATACAAAGTTTTGTTAATGGTATCCGTGTAACGGATATCGTTAAACCTTTATATACGCGATTAACGTCTAAAAAATTTAAATTTTACGCACATTTAACACACATGGGATTGTGTCGTTTCTTTAGAACCTTAAGAATGTCAATAAATAATTCCGGTGAACACTTATCCACGAAAATCCTTTTCCCTACATCAAATAAGCCACCGAATATCGCCAGTTAGTCGCAGGTTCCAGCCTCATCAATGGGCTGTTACGTGGAATTTTCCGGGGTTTTTTCGTACGTATAACAATTAAATAGGGGTCGGTTTTCCGTAGAAATTCCCCTTGGCAAATCGCCCGTCTGTCCAATCCATTCTGTTTTAATAATTCTTTCGAAATTTTGGGCACCGTATAGGTTAGCGCCCATAAATAAATAAATAAATAAATAACGTTTTATTCGAGCATATATTAGGGCTCGAACAATTACTTTTGAAATCTGGAATTTTTTGGATTGAAATTAAAATTTAATAAGTTAGCCTACTACAAATATCGATTATTTGGTGGTTCTTTTAAAGGGTTTTGTGATGTTCTCTCGCATACACTACCTAGAATTACCTTAAATACATTCACGTGTACTTTTATAATTCAAAAGCACACAATTCTGCATTCATTAGCGAAAGTTTATCATGAAAATTCGATGCAAATTGGTGCAAGATTTTTGGGTTTAAACAAATTTATTTTCAGTATTGTAAATTTACTAATTTTCTGGATTTTTTAAATTTTAAATAGTAATGTTTAATGCAGACTCTTGGATAAAATTTAAAAAATTCCTCCAGTTTCGAATAGATTTTAGAAAATAGTTAGATAAGTCTGCATTATTGTCTAAATTTAGTACGGTATCGATTTTGTAATGACTTTTGATTATAAAAAATAATATGAATTTTGATTTGTAATCATAATTCCACTTAGTTTTGTTTGGTATAAATTACGTAAAAATCGATATTCCAGAAGTTCGGGATATTTAAAGCCATCGTAATATACATTTTATTTTCTGAACTTTTAGATAATAATAAACTGTAAATTTGCTGGCTTACGATAAGATTTTTCCCGGTTTGATCAAATTTTTCAATTTTTCATCGAATAAATTTTACAAATATTCTCCTCTTATACAAGTTAAATCAGCAATCGGCATAAATTGTGCTTTGGTATTGATTTATAAATACATATCTTAGGCAAACTTATGAGAAATTATAACGAAATATCTGCCGTAGGTTCTATCAGCCAGACAGAGATCCCAGTTTGAACCATAGAAATTTAAAACGGGCAGTATGGATGGGGCGATCGTTCCACTCCATTGCGGATTAGACCCGTCCGTAACGGGAGTAACTGTGGCAAGTTTTCAAATGTTTCGGTGCTTTGCATTAACGAATCGACCGTTTCTACGGGTTCTCGCGACTTTCGATCGGATTTAACGGCTGTCAAACGCAACACGAGATATTTACAAAAATTTTAATTCATAAAATTTTTTATTACAATAACTAATTTAAACACTAAAAGAGTTGACCATCTCAAATTTATACACCACTTACAATTGAGACCTCGTGGATAATTATTGCATTCAGAAAGCTGTTTTATTCAATAACACTCGTTTTTTTACAATACACATTTTGCTCAAATGCGCATTGTAAAAAGTTACTCAATGGCTTATGAGAAGAAAGTTTTAAATTTAGTTGATAAATACTATTTCTATACATTTTATAAAAACTGATAACAATTTCGAGGAAATGGCATTTTTAGTGTCGAATAAGCCTTGTACGACTGTTTTAGTGGATTGTCTAGTATTGTAGAATACAGTAGTTGAAAAATAAAATCAATTATCATTTAGGTTGAGAATTTTTTAAACGCTGGTGTGGGAGTAAATTTTATGAACGTTTTTAACGTAAACACTATATTACAGACAACGGACGTAGTACGCTTTGAAATATTAAGAAAAAGAAATAATTTCAATTGTTTAAAGATTGATGTAAAAAAGATTCCGGCGCTGCCGTCGTGCGCGAATATTAATAGCGAGGTCGAGGCCGAAGTTTTAAACGCGAAAACGTGTCGGACAAGTTTGACAATGGCGTTCGGATAGTCGGTGGAATCAGCTCCACGTTCCAAACGCCATTGTCGAACTTCTAGGCTTACGGGAAAGCGGCGTCGAACGTCCGCCTTTAAAACTTCGACCTCGACCTCGCTATTAATTAGAAATATAGCGGTCCAATTGCGGTAATTGAGAAATGGAGAAGTGATCCGGATTGATCCTTTGTAATTATTATAGAGCGTATATAAATTTTGAATATTCATCCGGTCTTGATTGCTTTGTTATTTTGTTCTATATTATTGATCATCCTTTTTGTGTCCAACCGAATTACGAAATCGGCACAATAAATCCCCTTCCTTACTTTTACACACGAGAAATTATGAAAGGAATTTGCATTAAGAAATTGCCAAATTACGCTGGCGGATGACGACGTTTATATAACAATTTTTAATTATTATTTTGCTTATATTTTGAAGGGGCCAGCGCTTTACACCTCGCAATAGCGTATCATAATACGGACATAGTGAAACAAGTGGTGGAATGTGGTGCTAATGTTAATCAGCGTGCAACCGGCCGATTTTTTCTTCCTCACGATCAGCAAAACGTTTCCGCTAAGAAACAAACAAATTTTATTGGCAAGTGAATTAAAATTTTTTGGCTCGACCGATTAGTCGCGCGTTTACTTATTACCGTACTTTCTTTCAGGTTTATGCTATTTGGGAGAATATCCTTTGGCATGGGCGGCGTGTTGCGATAACGAGCCCGCTTATAATCTGTTGCTGGCCCGCGGTGGTGATCCAAATATGCAAGATTCGTTCGGAAACATGATCTTGCACATGGTCGTCATTAGAGATAAATTAGTAAGAGATTAGACTTTAATACATTTTTTACTAAAATTATGACTTACACGTATTTTTAATTGTAGAAAATGTATGGATACGCATTAAGACACCCGCAGAAACCGGCAAAAGATTGTATTCTCAATAATTACGGCCTTACTCCGTTAACATTAGCGTGTAAATTGGGAAGGAACAAAATATTTCGAGAAATGTTAGATCTTAGCGCAATCGTAAGTATAACTTTTTAAGTGTTTAACGTTAAAATGAGGTGGTATTACAATAATCGGCTTAGACGACGGAAGTCTCCGCGCCGATTATCGTAATGGTTGTCACAAACTCCGCGACATCTTCAACCGCTTCATTTTGCTACTGGCTTAACTCGAAATTGAACCTGGATTTTCTAGGGTGGCCATTACCAGTCCGTTTTCGGTTACGGCTCGTATTTGTCATATCTCCTCGTCCCTTGTTTTTGTCACCCGTTTAGGACCATCAAAATCCCATAGCAAAAATCAGAAAGTTTTGTACCAATACAAAAATACAAACACAATAAGTATTTATTGTTTTGTTTTAAAGTATTATACGACTGGCAGATACGTCGTTCTTATACCACACAAAATATAACTATATTTTAAACTTTTATACTAAAGTTAAAAAAATCATTTCTGACACATTAGCTGTGAAGCAAAAAATATGTGCAGTATTAGATAGCGTGGTTCAAAAACATATATTAATTATAAGACTATATCAAAGAAAAGAAAATATTTACATTGAAAAAATGCGTAATTTTTTCTGTTGTCGATCTCGTATTCTTGACCGGCGATGTCTGAAAAGTTGGCTCCTTTTGCGTGAAAAAGTTTTAACTCTTATAAGTTAAGTAGAGCTTCCACAGAGGTTGTTACCGTCATTTTTCTCATCAGCTACTTCTTGAAAGTCAAGCGTAGTATTAAAAGTAGCTTCGATAATTTCATCATCATTTACGGGGTATGAAGTCAGACAATCTTGGTCACAGGAAACATATTCAAGTAGCGTCACCGAAATACTAATAAACCTTGCGGGTCTTTTTCACTCGCATTGTGATTTTATCCAGCAGCGTTTAATTATATCTGGACTTTGTTCTTTCTAAACTTCATTCGACACGAATCTTCCAGATTAATCTTGGGTATTGATCAATTGCATCAACTGCCTACCATTTTATTACCAACGAGCAATTATTTTATTCTGACATCGTCAATATTTAATCATATTTTTTATTTATTTAATTTAAAATATTATGCTCCCCATATTCAAATTAGCAGTGTCTTGCTCCCGTACACCATACTTTTCCTTTAGCAATCGAGTCGTGCCGGTAATCTAACTATTTCCAGAGAAAATTTTTGAATTAAAATAGCATAACTTTCGATATAAATTGAACGTTCGTATATAGTGAAGCGGGGCTTCCCGCTCCCAAGGTTTCCACCTCTGTTCTTGTCTTTCATCTATCTAACTCCGTTCCCGATGTCGAGGAAAGACAGACGGATGGACAGATGACAGTTTATAGAATTTATAGGTCTACAGTTTTTCAAATTGCAACCCAACAAACAGGATTTTTGATCGTGTTATGTATTAAATGACACAGTTGAAAAAAGTGAGTTTCCAGACCCTTTCGACTCGATCTTAACCAAACGCAATGACAGAACTGAGCAAGTGACATTTATGAGAGTGACAGAAACTAGGGACGAGTGTATGTTGTGCTATTTAAACAGTAATTAATGTATATTATTATTATTAGGAATTTTGGAGGTATACAAATATCACTTGTTCTGGCTATCCATTAAATGCTTTAGATACGATTCTGCCAAATGGTAAAACAAGTAAGTAGCTCGCTCACTTTCGTATGAAAATTAAGAAAAATAATAGAAATGAATTATAATTATTATTATCGTATTTAACAGATTGGAATTCGGCATTAATGATTATTTTAGATGGTCAAACAAATGAACATTTAGACATGTTGGACGGAGGAGTGATACAAAGATTACTGGAAGAAAAATGGAAAACCTTTGCTCGAGTATTATTCGTAGATTAATTTCATTTATTTATACTAAATCATTATATATAACGTTATTATTGTTGTTATTTTATTTAGCAACATTTCCTTAAAAGGCTCGTTTTCATATTCCTTCATTTGATCACTCTGGGCATTGCTGTTTTTTTAAGACCTCATTCTGATCAGCCTTTGATTGGAACTACCGACGTGTGGTCAATTGTACGTATGGTTAAATTACTTAAAAATATCAATAAAATGGTGGTTTTAGGAAAAAGCAATGTAAAGCCTGGCAAAGATGCGACGCTTTACGTTAGAGACCTTACAATACCTAGGAATTGATCCTAGGCACTATATGATACGGAGTGTCGTGTGTGGAGGCCTCGCACTACCTAAATCTCTCACTAAATATAGTCTATTCACCAGTATGATATTAATTATTCTACTCTTATTCAGTGTAGGTATTGTTTCGAAATTATATCGTGCCTCGGTTGTGTGATTTTCGTTATATTTCAACAAGGACAAGAAATACTAGCGCAAGGAATAATGGGCTTCCTGTTCAGCTTGGTATATTATCAAATTTGAATATTTTTAAGATTGTTAGTAATAACAAATGGCTGTTTCTCTTCCAGATTCAATTACAAGTTAAAGTGTAGTTTAAGATATTGCTATTTCTACGTCTGAGCTGTAGATATGCTGCAACAGATTGGGTGAAAGCTGAGGCTCAGCGTGAGTTACGATAAAAGATTATTTTGCTATAACTCCGTGGTTCTTAAACTGTGGGACGTTCCATCTCAATAAGGAGCGAATTGATCAACATCATTGTTTATTTTCGAGTACTACTCTCGTATGTGTAGTGTCACATAGGCATGTTGTAATGGGCGTTGTCATCTCATCAGCTCTTCGTGTCTTCAAAACTATTATCGTAATTTCATCTGGAAGTAGTTTAGAAACAGAATTTTGTTACTAATAATAAGAAATAATGTTATTATGTAGTTGATTCTTTAAATAATTAAGATATAAATGTATATTTTTAGACCAACCCTTCCAAAGCTGTATTTATTGTTTCCAATATCCTCATCCTCGCGTGTATTCCTTGTCGTATATTAGAAGAACGGTATATAGAGGATTGTTTTCTGTCGATTGCGCTGCCTGGAACATGGTTTTTCCTTATTTTCTTTGCGGGGTAAGTTCAACTTTTGAATAATTTCAACAATCAAATTATATATTTATAACTAATAAATATATTTATCTTTAATTGTTTAGAGCAATGCGGTTAACAGGACCATTTATAACGATGATTTACAGCATGTTAGTGGGAGATATGTTTCGTTTCAGTATTATATACGTCATCTTTTTGCTTGGATTTACGCAAGGTTTATATTTTATATTATTTTTAAATGTGTTTTAATTATAAACACGAGGCATTAGCATGCTATAGAATAATTATACGGCAGATATAATTAGGCTAAGACTGTTATGGAGGGAGCTGACCATCACGAGTAGAGACGAGGGAAATAGACAGTCCGTTTATGGTAAATTATGGTAAGTGGAACGAGTTCGAACCCATATCCCGACGATAACTGCAATGTTGAGGAATTATACGGACACGGGTGCGGTGTAATATCCTCAATGCTGATCTTAATTCGCTGTATCTTAAGCTATAATGTATAATAGGGCTTTTCCCTTCGTCAAACAATAATATGCGAAGAGAAAAACAAATACTAGGCCTTAAGCTATAAACTCATAACATAAAGCTTAAGGCTGCTATACACCATGGGTTAATCCTCAAAGGAGTAACCATGCATGCCTGATTTTGAGTCATTCCTAGATGTGTAGGGGGGGAAATTTAACAGTTTCGGCAAACTGTACCGACCACCCGAGTAGAATCGGCCATATTCTTCAGGTTAATTCTCAAAGGAGTAATCATGCATGCCTTACCTTTATAATTTTTGGTAGTTTATGGGGGACAATTTAACAGCTTCGGCGACCTGTATCGACCACCTGAGTAGAATTGAAAAACCATTTGATTTTCCTGGCACAGTGTCAGATTGCGTAGGCCGACTTAAACGTGTGTGAGAACAATGTCTCGTGAATGTTTGGAAGAATTATTTTCTATAACCTTATTAACTTTTATTATTTACAACCTAAAAAATTAATTTTTCAGGTTATAAATTATTTTCAGATCAAAAATTTCTCGAGTAAAT